ATAGGCCCTGATTGTGCAACACGTACTCGTGAATCTCGGTTTTCAGAGAGTCCCCTTCTGAAGCGTATGCGGCTGAGGGCCCCAAAACGGCTGGAGCCTAGATGCTTCCACCTCGGTGGAGTTCGCATTAAATAATGCAGTGCACGCCTCGACAGGCTACACTCCGTTCTATGTGAACGGCTTGGTTAACCCTCGCGTCCCACTGACGCCGCCACGCAGTGGCTCAGGGCTTGGTGGGGGAGGGATAGCCGAGCGGCTAGCTGATGTCAGCCCTGTTGCGGTTCGCAAGCATGTCCAAGAGAAGATGAGCGCCGCAACGGCGGCGGCGTCGATGACGCGTGAAGAGTCTATGAGACTGAAACCGCTCATGGTGAGCGTAAAAACCTTCGAGGGGAAGGATGGAGAGAATCTCCTTCTCTGGACCCGTGAGGTCGAGATGGCCATGGGATCGGCCCTGCTCCAGTCTGAGCATCAGCGCGTGGCGCTGGCTGTCTCCAGGCTTGGAGGTCGCGCTCGCGAATGGGCACTAACGTGCGGCACGTCTGTTGACGCTGCATTTCCCACTTGGGATCAGCTGAAGCAACAGCTTTCGCGCGTGTTCGCGCCGCCTAATCAGGCGTACCGTATCCGGTCAAAGTTCCTTGCTACCCGCCAGGGTAAGAAGGATTTATTGGACTATGTCCAAGAGTTGAGAACTCTTATCGCCGGAATGGCGGCGGACCCTCTTCCGGAACTGGTCAGCGTGACCGTGTTCATGGAGGGACTTCGGGTGAGCGCAGCTCGAACGGAAGTGTTCCGTGTACACCCTAACTCTTTTGAAGAGGCGGTGGATGTGGCATTGAATGCCGAGCACAACTTCAGGTCGGCGCGACCTGGTTGGAGCGCTGGTAGCGCAAGCTCTTCGAGCGGTCCAGAGCCGATGGACCTCAGCTATGCTGAAGATGAAGAAGCGGAGCTTCTTGCTGCGGAGCAGCGCGCCGGCATCCGCCGATGCTTTGTGTGCAATACCACTAAGCACTTGAGGGCCTATTGCCCTCTGCGCAAGAAGCGCGGGGCTCCGGCGAGCCAACCCTCCGGGTCATCGCCGGGAAACGGCAACTCCCAGTAGGCGCGGGGCGGCCTACTGGGGAAGAACTGAGCTCTGTTGTGCCTCGAAGAGGTAGAGGGCAACGGGGCTCAGCCCCGAAGAGAGCTGAGCTCTCTTACGAGAAGAGTGTGTGCAAGCCGGGCTTGCTGGTCGTTCAAGCGAACGTGAAGGGCTTTGCAAAGCCATGGAGAGTCTTGATTGACTTGGGAGCCTCGGGCAACTACGCCCGTCGCTCCACCCTGGAAGGGTGTCAGCTGTATGCTGAGGCACTGGAAGTGCCAGCGAGAGATACGATCTCTGTCCGTCTCGCGACGGGGACACTGGTAACTGTGTCGAAGGTCTCTGTCGACCTTGGAGTGAAGTTTGAGAACTTCGATAGCGTGGAACGCTGTTTGGTCTTAGACCTGGATGCGAGGTATGACCTCATCCTTGGCATGGCATGGCTGGAACGCCATGAGCCATGGATCGACTGGAAGTCGAAAACGCTTGGTGCGTCGCACCCTGCTCCTAGTGGAGCTTTGGTGAGTCCTGAACCCACCTCTGCTAGGAAGCAGAAGCGCTTTTGGCGCGAGCACGAGGCCGAGGCGGCCGTAGTGCTGGACATTGGTATGTCCGAAATTGTTAGCAACGAGGTTGCTGTTTGCCCTGAGGGCGTACGTGGTGCGGCACGTTATCCGCGGAGCGGTGCAGGTCAGGTCAATGACCAACTGCTGGGTCCTAATGAGGACGAGCGCGGAGTGGCGCGTAATCCACTGAGTGGTATGAATCTGGTCGATGACCTACCGCTGCGTGACCCGAGGGTCGCGGTCGACTGCGAGTCGAGGCATCATGGGCGTGGCCCAGGAGATGCAGGTGAAGTGACACCTAGTTCACTGTGTGAAGGTCAAGAACCTCTTGGCTTTCAGCCGAGTGTCTTGCGAGACACTGTATCCTCTTCGAGGAGTGATGGTGCTGCTGCACCCGGTGGTGGTGACGGAGATGTCGCCACACCGCCCTCATCCGGCCGGGCTCGGTCGCGGAGGGAGAGGAGAAGAAGACGCAGGGCGTCTGTGACGTCTTCGACGTCGGACGATGTGTCCAACGTGACGAGCGGTGATGCTCCACGTGATTGCTGTGAGCAGCTGTATACACTCGTGAACGGAGTGACGGGGGAGGTAGAAGGCGATATCAGCCTTGATACTCTGCCCGCTGCAGATGCTCTGCTAGAGCTGGACGAGATGTCCATTGCCGAGTTCGGCGAAGCCTTAAAGGCAGGCGAGCTAGCCGAGGTGGTCTTGCTGGGACCTGAGGAGGAGTTGAACTCCTCATCCGTCGTGGACGACGCGGTCCTAGAGGACACCAAGAAGGCGCTGAGCGCAAGAAGTGGATCGGCGATCCTCAAAGATCCTTCGGATCCCTTTTACCCGGTGGTGAAGGAGTATGGAGATGTTGTCTCGAAAGACCCACCGACGGGTCTGCCTCCGGATCGAGGCGTGTGTCATGAGATTGACCTGGTTCCTGGAACCAAATACTGCGTAACAAGGCAATGGCCTTTGCCGAGAGAGCAGTGTGACGTCATTGACGCATTCTTCCGTGCGAAGCACGAGGCAGGGATGGTGCGTGAGAGTAAGTCTCCGCACTCGACACCCACGTTCTGTGTCAGAAAGCCGAACGGCAAGTGGCGCATTGTTCATGCTTTTAACAAGCTAAATGCGGCCACTATCCCGGCGCAAACGCCGATTCCTCGCAAGGATGTTCTGCAGAACAACATGGTAGGCTGTACGTTGTACAGCGCGCTCGACTTGGTCGATGGTTACTACCAATTGCTCATGAGAGCGAGCGACATTCCGCTGACAGCGGTGAGTACTCCGAGCGGTATGCTCTGGGAGTGGCTGGTCATGCCCCAGGGGCTGTCGAACGCACCAGCAACGTTCAATCGTCTATTCCAGCATGGATTCTGACTTAGAGGCGTTCAGCCATAATCCTACAGATGGTAGCTTGGCGGCACTAGCTTTTCAGCTAACCGCAGTTACCAATTATCTGAACCAACGGTTCCTCTCGTACTGGGTGGGATTACTGTTTAGACAACGAACTCATCAGTAGGGTA